ATATAATATATCTCTTCAAGGAACTAGCAGTGGTTTACAAAATTCTTTTCGTTAGTATCTTCTTGCTGGCTGGAAATATCTTACTGGTGTGATTGGAAAGTGTTTATGGCACAAAACAGGGATTCTGGATCAACTCAACCTTTTCGAGCTTCGTATTCTATATGTCATGGTTACGACTAAGCATTTAGATTTTTATTGACTTATCTATAAATCATCTCGTTTCCATCATTCAATGAAAGAAGAGACACACATATGTTCCATGTCCTCGGTGGATTGCATTGACGGTAGAACACATTGGAACAGGCTATCAAGGACATCTTGCTGATGAAATTTCTCCATCTATCATGTCCTCAAAGCTAATCAATAGTGCTACAAATCCTCAATACCCATCTAGTACTCCCTGGATGAAGAAATGGGTTTTAACTCCATACGTTGTTGAGACACATCCTTTTCAAAGTTTACACGCTCCAACCATTGATTTACCTTCCGCTGAAGAAAGTTATGAAAGATTAGCTGACTCGCAGTCTTCTACTAATGAAGAGGACAACGTTGATAACACATAAAATACTAATCCTAACACTGATGTCATCATAGATGATAATATTCGTGGAAATTCCACTGATGAAGATGAAAACGTTGATGATGAGGCTGATGACACTTCAAGACCTTCCTCTGAATCTCCACCTATCACTATTCAATGTCCAATGATACGTCGTCCTGATCCTGTTGCTACTTCTTGATCTCCTCTATGTCTGAATAAGCACATTTATTTCAATCATGTTCCTCCTCTTCGCAACAAAGTATTCCCTCAAAACCAACTATTTCATAACATCTTATTGGTAGGGATAAAACTCTATCCCCTGGTCATAATACCCTTACTCGTGAGGTCTTGAGATATGTACATATCCCTACTCTACATGTTCAGCCTGCGTCTTTGTCTTTACAAGCCCAAATTTTACAAGATTTTGAATACGCTAATTGGGTTGTCTGACGTATTCGCTGAATTTCTGGGATGTGTTGAGGCTGATATTGTTGCAACCAAACGAGCATTCCTTGATTATGTTGATTCTTTTATTCCTCAATCACATCAATCTCTTCCACCCACAAATCCACCACACCACACCATCACCCTCAAATCCACCACCCCACCACCTCCTCCACCCTTAAATCTACCACCACAATTACCCCTTCCACCTCTATTCACCTGGTACTATAACTGCTGAACATTCTAATCGATTCCCTAAAGATGAGGTCAAAAAAGGGGAGAACTTAGAGAGTCCTAATGATGAGGAATGGTTTATGTATCTATCCTTCTTAGGAGATTCAATGTCTTCACATGTTGTTCCTATTTCTATAATCATGCCTGATGTTGACCAACATGATGGTTCTAAAGCTAGGGGCGGGACACGCTGAGGAGGAGCCTTATTGTCAGGGGGAACATCACACTGCAAGTGACATTGAATCTAATGATGGTAAACTAACTATAGCTTCTTCTTCAGCTCCTCATATCAAACGTCGAAAGACTATTCTTCGTCCTGAAAAAAAAGACATGAGGTATTTCAGTGGAAGAAGTAAGAGCCTTTGTTGCTGAAAATAATCATGCCTTGCGAAATAGAAATATTCTTGAGCATGATGCAAATTCATTGAGTGAATGGCTACTGCTAAAGGAAATATGGATCAACATAAAGAAATATTTAAACTTTTTGACAATGAAGTTGCGAAGAAAAAAAAGATTAATACAAAGACAAATCTCTCCAAATACACTTATGTGTTTGCAAGAAGAATCTCTCTAGATCCTATAGTAAAAGTGAGATGTACTAAACCTAAAGATCATAAAATCGTGACAATAAATCTTACTAGGAAAGATCACAAGGGTGATTACCCTGAGAAAATTCTTGTTTCCGACCTTGTGAAGTATAGATACAATGAGTGGCTTGAAATTCCACACACACACACACACGCATATATATATATATATATATATATATATATATATATATATATATATATATATATACACACACACATACACACAAAGAGAGAGAGAGAGAGAGAGAGAGAGAGAGAGAGAGAAAGAGAGAGAGAGAGATTAGAGTATCTTTTATTATGGGAAGGAACATACATGTGACACACATTGGAAAAGAGCATGTAAAAGAGTTAGTGATTGTAAGGAGCATTTTCATATATACCTTTAGAGCATCTCCAATGGTAAACCTAAGCTATCACTAAATATTTTTGTCACTTCATTATTCTAATTATTTTGACATTTAATTAAGTGACCCCTCAAATTGTTAACTTGTTGATCTTCGTCTATCTAAAATGTTTCATGCAACCTCCTCATTTAGTTTGTCCTTTATAAACATATTATATTTTAATATGATATATTTTAAATTAATATTATCATTAGAAATTAATATATAAATATTTTATAAATGAAAAACTATGAGAGAAATAATTAAAAAGTTAAATAAATAAAAAATATTTAAAACTAAAATATAATTAAAGAGGTGAAAATAAAATATAATCAAAGTAAAGAAGATTAAATTTAAAATGTTATAATATATTAACCACTCAATATATATTAAATGGTCAATATAAATATACAAAAAACTATCCGCTGTTAAATGAAAATAAGTCATGGGTCAATACTAAAAAACTTTAAAATAAGTAGCCATTAGAGATGTTCTTTTTAAACATTAAAATATCATATTTATTCAACCTAAAATCTAAATATCAAATTTGACTTCTTAATATTTAAAATATCTTATACTATATTATAAAACGTATTAGTCATATCTTGAATTTTAAAAGGTATAAGTTATAAAGCTATTTGTATAAATCAATTATACATAAATAAATCATTAATACTTGTCAAAAGTTTGAAGTCGAATTAAGGAAGATTAATAAGAAATTCAATTTAGAGCAAAATGACAAATTTTATAGATTAAATTTATGTATATATAAATTAATTTATATTTATTAAAATAGACATCACTATTAATTATTTTACATGTATAAACATACAATATAAATATAAGGTGTAACATAAATATTTTATTTAAAATTAAGATTTAAAAAATATATATATATTTTACCACGGCCGCTTTGTGCGGACACACATTTAGTCTTATTAATCCAAATCCATTTTTTAAACTGTTTTTATTAAGTTATAATATTTTTTATAATTTTAAAGCATTAAATTTAAAGAAAAAACACTAAATGGACATTAATATCCTTTTACCTATATGACATCATTTATTAAACACGATCAAACTTTCTTAAGGCTTTCGGCAGTCACCGCCGTCGGCTTACGATGAACACAAACCTCACCACCACTTTAGCCCTACCAGTTTCTACCTCCCTCCACCATAAATTAGTCATAACATCCCCGAAAATCAGTAATGAAACCCACTTCTATCACTCCACGTACCCCCTTTTGCCACTCAATTTTGTTCTCTAGTTTCTATGTCTACGCCATCACCACCATTTCTTCGTTTCTTCTCTGTTAGCTGTACTTCCTCCACTCCTTCTCCTACCACAGTAAATATCAAAGTGCCCCCAAAAAAATCTTCTTATTAAATCTGATGCTGCATCTAAGTTTACTTTGCTTAATCGAACTGGCAATATGATACATGTTTTACTTAAAATTGTTGGGAATTACATTCAGGTTATTGAATGATCATAAAGTATTGATTTTTAGCTTAATGTTTGATACATGATCTGCATTCACAAGCTTTGTCATGACAGCAGTTCCGACACTATATGTAAGATTTTGGCTTTCGGTTTGATATTAGATTCTTGATTTTGTGGGGTGAACCATATTAACGATGCTGGTGGAACCATGGAGGTCTGAATTAGTAGTCATATTCACATATACTGAGGTGTTAGTTTATTATTATTTTTTATTTAATAGGCTTAATGGGGACAAAACTGACTCTCATAAGCTATGTAAAAGAGTTTCTTTTTGACTTGAAACAAAAAGAATTACTTACCAGAGAAAGTTATGGAAAGAATGTTAACAAATGTGACCATAATGCATTTAACTTGAGTGAAAGTGAATGTATTGAACTGTTTACATTCTTATATTTGCAACTTCCCCTTTAATTTTAAGATCTGAATTTGTGTTTTATGCCAGCTGCAATTTCTCTTGTAAAGTTTGAAGATACTACTCTTGAGGAGCTGCCTATTAGAATGGCTACGATTCGACTTATGAGGAGCTTCCTATTACACTCGATCTTTGTGACTTGAGGTTACCACTTAAGCAACTCTATAAGGGCATTATTGTCCATTTAATGTTTTCTTTCAATTTTACTGATTTAAAATTATATAAAAAATGATTATAAATTAATAAAAAGCATTGAAAAAACCGATTTAGGTAATTATGATATTTATATGACAATTTATCTCTTTCTATTTTGGTTGTTCTTCCTAATTTTCACAACGATTTCCATTTTAAGGGGTCCATTGTAATCATTACAAATTATTGAGTCTATTGATCTTGGTTCACATGTTTCCCGTTATATGTCACTATTGAAGGGTGTTGTAGACATTTCACTTTTATAGTCAAAACCCCTTGTAGTAAGGATAGTCTTCAAATTTGAATGTGATTTATAAGACTTTATCAAACTAATGAACACTTCAAATCACAATAAGCAAGTTTGTAGTAATTGCTTGTGAAGTATAGAAAAACAAAATCTTGATTTATAAGACATTATTGGAGAGGTGTCTTCAATATTCTCCCACATTGGTTTTGAGGTGTCTTCAAGGGTAATATTTTTCTGTTTGAGAATGATTTGGCTGCAACATAATATTACTTCATAAAGAAACCACAAAAAGGCATTATAAACCCATAAATAGCAACCAATACACATCAAATACAACATATTAATTAGAAATATCATCGGAGCCTTTACCATCATTTTTCTGAATAACTCAAACTCTTATTCATTAATTGTTATTTCAAACTTAAACATGAACATATTACATAAAACAATAATTAGAACTCACTCGTAATGCCAACATAAAAGATTGAAAAAGTAAAATTACAAGTAAAACCCCATAAACAACAGCAGACCCAATTCTGTACCCTATAAACATGACAATTCGTCGCAGTTTCTAGGTTTCAGGAAAGGGTATTTTAGTCTTTTTCTCACACCAATCACAAGACCCCAATTTTGTACCCCATTTTTCTTAAGTAGTTAGAATCGGAGGCATGTAGCCGGCGAAGGTACCAAGAACCCTAGCCTTTGTGTCGGGGAAGAACTCCGACCCCGGCAGCTCCGTCACATCTCCCTCCTCCGTGACTCCGACAGGGTAACTGAGCAGGTGCCCCGGCAAATCATGGTCGAGCCTCTCAGAACAATAAAGATCCCAGTATTTCATCGATATCTGGTTCACCTTTCGGATGCAATCCAAGCTCTCCGGACATGAAAAACAGTCGTCAAGAAGCCCCATATGCTCGTACCACAACGACATCCTGAACCCATGAACCTGACCCCTCGCCGGCTGTCTTTTTGATAGATGACACGGCTGAAACGCCCCCATTGCTATCTCAGAATCTCGAGCTCCGTCCATCGATCTCTGGTTGATATTCGCTGATCCGACGATTATGTACTCGTCATCGACTGCAAAATCATAAATATTTTCGCATTAATCAATGAAAACGAAAACAGAGTATGAGTAAGAATATTAGTATCACTATTCACTTACCGATCATCATCTTGGCATGCACATAGATCATGAACCGGCGTGCTTCCTGAGCTCGCTGGTAATTAGTATCCTGATCAGGCTTCTCCGACGGTATGTACTCGTTAGGTTTCTTGATTTCACGGTTGCCGAGACAAAAGAATGTTAAATAATCCCTGGGGTTCGCCACGATGTGCTTCACTTTCAGAGCGTGAACGATATCAGTATACATCATCTGCATCGTTCTTCTTTGCCAATCCAGTATGGCTTGTACTGATGCACCCTCCGGCTCACCCTCCGGCCACATTGGCAAGACGACGTACACCCTGAAGTCCTCTCCTGCTTCGATTTTGCTCACGATTTTAAGCGACAGTTCTTTCGGGATTAGATGTAAGGCGTTGATGTCTTCATCTTTAATGTCGTTTGAGTTCCAGCCGTATGAACTTCCGAGAAAGTACTGGTTTTCGATGTAGATGAAGTTTTTTGCTCGGCGGATGGCGTTGATGTACCCGTCTTGAATGCTCCGGTCAATAATGTTATCTTTTCCGCTTATCAACCCAGCACGTGCTGCATCCTCGGGTTTCTCAGGGAACCCAAATGCAGCGCCACCGTCAATTGACCGGAACAACTGAACATTCCATCTCTCATGGTCATCTGGTAACATCACCGGCGACGGAGGGATTATGATATGACTAAGATCCCTTACGTCGTTCAATAAATCCTTCCCGCCTTGCTTGAGCCACCGCTGCTCAAAATTGAATAACACATCCCACGCTATTGGACCTTCAAGCTTGCAATGGATGTCATGCCACGGCTCCCGAGGTCCACCTTTCTTCACTGATGAATTAGGGAAATTAGGTTGGTGGAAATCATCATGGTGGATGGAATCAAGTGTTCGGAAAAGGGAATGGAATGGGGTATCATATCGTCCATTGCAAAGATCGATTCCGCCTATAAAACTAAGTATACGCCTCTTCTCATGGTTATTAGGTAATGGAGCGTCAACAACTACAATCTTTTGATGATGAGTTAACATCAATGAAATCTGGATGTTTTGGACGAGACTGCGTCCATCATCCGGGTTACGAGGACATAGTATACAGTTTACTTCCGAGCCCCGGAAGTATGCGCCTGTGTCCTCGTCATGGGTTGCCATGAACCCATTTTTAAACAAACCGTCAGAAGTTCGGTCATCCCAAACAAGCATCAACACCCGAACACCCTCACTCGCCTTTTTCTTTAGCAATTCACCAAGTGTCATGTCCCCACCGGGCTTCGGCCTTCTTAAATCCCTAATTAAACTAATTTCCGTGTAAACGGACCATCCCGTTATATAAATCAAGTGTTTCGCATTCGAAATCGCATCGAAAATGTCCTCCCAACATCGGTGTGGTTCATAGTACTTGCCTCCGGTTAAAGGTATTTTTGGTGTGAAATTATCGGGTAAGTGTGCGTCTTGATAAAGTGTAACCCTACATCCGTTTCTTTGCGGAAAGAATGTAAAGGGTACACCCGGGAATTTTACGCTTTGTATCCCCCGAGACCATTGGCATTCACGTTCAACTTTAAAGAAGTGTAACTTTACATGGATTTTTGAGTGCCCGTGGATTGACTTGCCACGGTCATCCACAAGTTCGAGACATTCATCGATAACTTCTTGGTTAAGCAGTTTGATAACCGGGACGTAGGCACGTCCGATTACAGTTGCGCCTATTGGGTCATCTTCTTTGACTGTAAAGATGACATTGGAAGCCATGTGAGCACAGTAGATGTGGAATGACTCGAACCATCGTGGGTTCGAGTCATGTTCCAGCATCCGGGTTCGGCCCACTCGAGCTTTTTCTAGGTCAACCGTTGCGTAAAGGCTCGCGGAGTTGTTCTTTAACCCCACTACATGCTCTAGTCCATCCACGATCTATACAAATCGAAAACAAAGGTTACATAATTATTTGCTAAGTAAAAGATGAAAATATAGTTTTATAGGTTTTGTATGATTGTTTTTATAGTTGAGGTGTGTAAAGTTGCAAACACATGTTCAAGTACTAGACCAATTTCAAACGATCAAACTTTTTATCCAAAGGAGAATAACTGGTTTCTGGGACCAAAACCGTCAAATGTATGAACAAACATATTTACATATTTCATTGATTTGGAAATCAGTCGGCCCAAAATCCATAAAGAGACCTGAATTTGAAAGTTTTCAAGAAATATCAAGTTGAGTTTTTATTTCATTTTTTGCTTTTATGTAAAACGTATAAAATTGAAGTTTCCTACCAGTCACCTATACTTTTTCATTTATTTATTCTAATTTGATAGCATACGTAAAATAACAAGTTTTATGTTTTTACACTGCATTCCTCCAGAAAAGATAAAGAACAAGATGATTAATGTCCAAAGTAATTAGTCTAACCTTTTTTTTTAAATGGTTAAGTGTTATCAATACACATTATTCAAGTGTCTATCCATCTCCTTAACTCCTACAACCTTTGAGTTTCCCAAATTGATGTTAGAGCTATTTCACGTTACTCTTATCCCTTCATGTTTCTCTATTGAATGTTGATTTCTCTATAAATAGAGATCATCTATGTGTGTTTGATATATGAATAAGAATAAGACATTTCCCCACTATTTTTATCTAGGTTAGTTGGTCTTTGTTTTTCAGTAGGCTATCAACACGATTTTCTCAATATCATAAGGATCAAGCCTAAATTTCTACACTGACATGTAACCAAAGTATGATTCTATTATATATCTAAGTGCTATCATATAAGTCTGTCTTTCTTTTATATTATGTCTTATATAACTTTTAACTGAAATAAGAGAAGGACTAACATGCAAATATGAAAATATGACTTTCGTACCATAAGTATCCATATATTGAGTTTATGAAAAAATAAAAATTGTTACGGATTCATCATATATAGTTTTTTTTTTATTTTTTATTTTTTATTTTTGTAGTCCATCATGGCAAACGTAAATTTTTGGCTTTGGATGTCACCGAAAAGAATTATTTGTCATGGATATTGGATTCTGAAAGTGAAATACACCTAGATGCTTATAGAATTTGTAACACAGCCCAGTGACAGAGCTTGAGCAAATGAGTTGGGGCCGAAAGTAATATATATATATATATATATATATATATATATTATATATATTATATATATATATATATAAGTTGAAGAACAGGGAGGCCATAGTCAAATTTTTTTGTTTTGGGTCTAATATATAAAGTTTTTAATAGTAATGGACTTGTTCTAAAAAAAACAGGGGGGCCACTGTCCCCCTCGCCCTTATGAAGATCCGTCAATAACACAGCCAAAGACGGAAACACGTCAATTGATCAACCAAATGCCAAAGCAATGAGTTTTATTTGTCAATGAGGGATTGAAGAGTGAATATCTCATAGTCAAAGATCCATTTTCCCTTTGGAATTAAAAGAGAGTTATAAACACCAAAAATGGTGATACTCCCTAAAGCTCGTTATGAATGGATTGCAAGATCTTAAATCAATGGGTGATTATAACTCGACAATGAGGGAATGCTAGAGAAAACATATTCAACTTCTCATGCATCAAATTGGCTCATAAAACAACAATATCATGAAAATGATTTTAAGAAAAACCATGAACTTATTTCATGTTTACTTGTGGCAATCAAAACAATGAGATTTTGATGAAAAAACATGAAGCCCGCCCAAATGGTTGTACCCCATTCCCTAAAGCCATTATGATAACACATCATTTTAATAACTACAACTGTGGCCGCAGTGTGGTGGAGGTCATGGCTATAGTGGTGGAGGTGGTGGAGACAAATATTATGGTCGTGTTCATGTTAAGAACCAAGTGGAAAAGGTAAATAAGTTGCTGCAAGTATTTGGTATCATTTTGGAGGCAAAATTTATTGGGCATATACCTTTTATATGGAGAACCAATTCCTGAAACTTTAGAAACAATCTCTTAAGAATAAAAGAAAAAATAGGAACATAATTTTATTGGGCACATACCTTTTATATGGAGAACCAGCTCGTGAAACTTTAGAAACAATCTCTTAAGAATAAAGGAAAAAATAGAAACACAATTTCTTTCGTTGGCGATTTCCTTCTTGATTAATGATAAGCTTAAGATAAATATATGAATAAGATGTATTACTTTGAGTTACATCATATACTTTTGCAAAATTTGACATACTTATTTGTTTTATTGATATGATTATATGATGGTTTTAAATTAGCTATGAGATACTTTATTAACAATCATGAAAATACGTGTTTTAGAAAATGGATTCTCTCAACACTTAACGTATAATTGTAAATCTATATGTCTCGCAAATACTATAACTACACACACCATACAAAGACACACGAGATATTTTTCTCAATTAACAATGCAATATGAAAATTTTAATATATGAATATATGATATTGGGTAGCACAATATTGATGGAAGGCCCAAGAAGGAGAAAATATATTATTGTATGGATGAATAAAGTTTCAAATTAATGATGCATTATTTTCTCCCAGATCTCAAAGAAACTTAATAAGCTTTAAGATATTCGTCGATATGTATCATCTCTAATAAATTACATTTTTTTTGCCACTTGTCATACTCCCATTTAATTTGTCAAATGTCATTTTATAGTTATTTTGAGTTATTTTTTTTCCACATGTCATTTTATTAGTTTTTCTATTTTATTAAATTTTATATAATATTTTAATGTAATAATTGCAATAAATGTAGTAATAAATGAATATCAATTTCATTAATGAATTTATCTTATAATTTCCAAATTTCCAAAATTAAAGCTTTCTTTTATTTATTTAAATTATTTGTTTAAATTTAAAAGATAAAAAATATTTTCATTATAATAATTCATTATTTTTCTTATTTTCTTATTAATTCAAAGTTCTTAAATATTTTGACATTTGTATTTAGTTTTTTTTTTAAATTAACCCATGTAATACATGAGTCTCACAACTAATATTATAACGAAACAACAAATGAAGGGAATGTTGAATACCTTAAGATTATCAAATTAATTTCCGGTAAAAATATGTATTTAAAAATTAAGCTCTTTTATTCCACTGGCCTATATTATACAAAAGATAAGTACAACTGAATATGTGGTCGAAAACCGGAAATTTGTAGACATATAAATTTATTGTTTAGCATGATCGGCTACGCCATCCCAAATCAATAATGATACAGAAGATCATTATCAAATCGTGTGGGCATTCCTTGAAGAAACTAAAGATCCTTCGATCTATTGATTTCATTTATTCTGCTTCCTCACACGGAAAAAAACATTCATCCATCACCAAATAAAATTAAGAATGAATCATTTAATTTTCAAGAAAGAATACTAGGGAATATATTTGGTCTAATATATCGGCCTTATGAACCATTTAGATACTTTATGGTTTTAATCGATGCATCCACCATATATAACATGTGTACTTATTATCAAGTCACAACCTAGCATTTACATGATTATTTGCTCAAATAATAAGATTGAGAACACAATTTTTATATTTTCATATGAAGACTATGCGTCTTAACAATGCTAGTGAATTTACTTATGAAACATTTTCTATTGTATTTATGATATAGTTAGTGTTGAACATCCGGTATGTAATGTTCATACACAAAATATCCTTGTTGAATCACCTATCAAACATCGAGAGTTCATTGCAAAACTGAACTTGTAAGCGGAAAACACACAATTGCTACTTTAGGACATGTATTTTTGCATACCGAAAAATTAATTCGCATAAAGCCAACAAGTTATCATACTTCCTCCCTCAATATTATTGAGTTTTCACTGGAACCACATTCCTATTTAAGATTTTTTTTTTGTTGTAGGGCATATGTTAGAGTTGCTCCACCACGACATTATATGTTGGTTATGTATCCCTCATTACGGTCGAGGGTTCAAGTCTCACTGTGGACATAGGTGGTATAATTTAGGAGTAGTTTATTATATATTTGTATTTGTCGCTAAAAAAATATTAAAATCATCCATGGGATATTTATCTACAGTTCGATTAGTTGATTGTCATTTTGATGACTCAGTTTTTATATATTAGCGCAATTGAGTTGGCCATCCCCGATCCATAATGATATGAAAGATAATAAACAAATCATATAGACCAAAGGGCTTCTAGCCCAATGGTATCAGGTGTTGTCATCCCTTCTAGAGGTTGAGAGTTCAAGTCTTATTGGAGACATAAGTAGAATTAGGAGTAGTTTATGAGTAGAGTAGAATTGTCGTTCTAAAATAAAAATAAATAAATAAATAAATAATAAACAAATAAAAAAAAATAAAAAAAATCATATAGGCATTACTTGAAGAGCCTAAGATTCTTCAATGTAATAAATTCATCTATTCTCCTTGCTCAAAAGGAAAAAATAATCATTCGTCCATGACCAAATAAAACTAAGAATGAATTACATAATTTTGTAGAAAGAATACAACGGTGTGTATATATATATATATATATATATATATATATATATATGTGTGTGTGTGTGTGTGTGTGTGTGTATGTGTGTGGTCTAATACAATAACATTATGGACCATTTAGATATTTTTGTGGTTTTAATTGATGCATCAGTTATATGGTCACATGTGTATGTACACCCGAATATGTACACCATATTGGGTAAAAGGGTATTTATGCATAAACAAAATGAAAAGGGTGAAACTTAAGATATAAAGTCCGTTTAGTTGCATTAGGATGTCCACAAATACCCAAAATTGATAATGATGATACGTATTCTCTTATGATGGATGCAACCACTTTTCAGTATCTTATTACTCTGGTAATAAGAAAACATGATTTGTATTTGATGGATGTTGTTACAATCTCCCTAAAGGATTTGAACTTCTTGAATCAGGTTCTTGAGAGCAATACTCACTAAAATTAAATAGTTGCTTATATGGATTAAAACAATTTGTATGCGTGTGAAGTAATCTTTTTAGTGAGTATTCGTTAAAATAAGGGTATAAAAC